TGGCTCATATTGCCTGATTTCAGGACAGTGGTCGCTTTTGCCTTATAGCTTCCGTAAGACTTACTGTAACCTCCATGCTCATCAACATGCAAAGGAAGACCGGGAGCGTTTAGTGATAACTATGTAAAAGTTTTTAACGACTAAGTACAGTCTGCTTTCCTCTGTCGGTTTACTCTAAAGGAAATTCGGGTCCACAAAAGTATTAATGTTTCTTGGCAAAACTCATCTAGTGAAATACTCCCTTTTGCATAGATACACGTGTTATGACTACGTCGCTCTTCGCACTACCTTCAAATTGTGCACTTTAACACACAGATCGCGACATCTACATGCATCTTTGCCCTCCCTCTCCCAGATCTTGCGAATATAAAGCATTCCACGACGCGGGAATTTTACTGTGGCGTCTGAGGAAACAAATACCGATCTCACCTGCTGCGACAGAAGCGGTGATCGAGTATTGGAAGTAAGCGTGTTGAACAGATGAAGATGGACGTAGGCGCCGGGACCGGTAAAGTAAAATCATTCGCCTGCACCCTACTCCACATGAACCAGACTTTAAGGGAAGGGGGATTTTCAGAGCTCACGAAAGTGACGATGTCATAAATTCAATTTTAAGTAGAAGACGTAGCAGCTTGAGTGGGACCGAGTTACTCGTTGGTTGTCAACCTGTCCAGATTGACTCACTGCGATGTGTTTGAAATAAACTATTTGTGCTACTTAGTTGGATTAAGTAACCTGAATTAATTATCGGTTTATTGGTTACATGGATTATCGGATCGGTTTGGCCGAGGATTGAGGATAGGATTCGGAAGACGATTAGGGTTTGGCTCGGTTTCAGAGGCAACCGTAACAGAACTTGGTAAACTACGATATTAAAAACACTATGACAGTTTCCGTGTCATTATATTGAGAATGCTTCTTCGTCGCTGCGATCATTTGCGACCATTGTAATTTGAAGTCTCGTTGTCCATTGTACAATAAGGCCGATACGATAAATGATATTTTCATCTAACTATTCTAGAAGGAAATACATTGCGACTTTAATGTCATGTAGAAAATACTATTATTTATTTCAGAGAAATCCTGCAGCAGCAAATAATCTCTTATACCAAATGAGCCCCAAATTTCCATTCCTTAAATTAAAGTCATCAAATTATCAGTACTTACCCCCCCCCACTCTCATCAGTATTGGTGACAGATTAAACTAGGTGGGGGCATACAAAGATTCACGCTTACACAAACGTTTATTTAGCGGAAACCACTGATATGTTTTTGAAACTTTACTTAAGCATAAAACTGTGAACTCGAAAGACAGATTGAATAGATGATAGAATGACCGGAACAATGCTCTCTACGTGTAAACCATACCAGTCAACGACACGCTTATTATAAAACTGTATCTCACAAAACATTTAAAGAATTTTCGAAACAGGATTTCGTTTGGAGATGCATGCCTAGGCGAGGTTCAAATGTTGACGATCATACAACATAATTCCAAGAAAGTTTAATCGATGCAGCTCACAATGACTGCCTTTACACCTTTTACTCGCTGGGAAATGTTCACTTAGGCAGTATAAATTGGCTCCATTGATTTCATATCCCTATAAGTTAAGATTATTCGAATACTTCACTTCCTAACATATATTTTAAGCACACATTTGTACCGTGTAAACTACAGTTATTTCGAGTATAAAATGTAGAACAATGCAATTTCGTACGCGCAATAATACGCGTACGCACAAATAACGGATATTAAGCCTGTTTCCCATAAAATTTGTTTGCGATTACAAGAGCAACTAATATCAGGGGGAAAATATGCCGCTTAACTCATAATTTTAGCGAGTACGAAAGACGTGCATTCAAAAGCCGGCATCCAGGAATCATACAAAATCTTTGAATCAGGCTGCATAATAACTAACCTCACTACCCTACATAAGTAATCAAAGTCACAAATTTGGATTTCCACTGACGTGTCATTGGTTTTATCACTCCTTTATAGGCAGTACTAGCAAAGTGGTCGGAGGTTTCCGTTAGAGTGCGTTCTACGTACATCTTTATGAAAATTCTACCCTAACGCCTGGATTGTCAACTCTGAGAAAACAAAAGAACAGGTTACCTTACAGAAGAAGTTTTTGCGGAATTTCACAGAGCATAGCGAGCCCAGTTCATAACTGGCGTTCGATCCTGCATGTTCGATTAACAAGAAGATCTGATAGTTTATTTTGGAGAATGAGAGTCTGAGAAAAAGTACAGTAGATTACATGGCGTCTGAATGTATGAACTCATGGCCACAAAAAACTTAATTCCTTTTTAGCGTATAGTGAAAAAAGAAGGTTGTCTCTTGGTGCACTAGAAAATAAGCTGGTTAAATTAGACGGTTTTCTTTCGCAACAGTGCCTAAATGGAGCTTTCCACAAAACACACTAATTACAATGGTTCGTCGAAACTCAAGAAACTAACAGCTGCAAAGAAAAGTTTATTTGATTAGTTTTCGGACAGAAAAAACATAACTAGTCAGGTTTGAAGACGATGTGTATACCCAACATTTCGCCAAGCTTCTAAGCTTCAGGCTTCTTTTTATAAATTCCCTGTTTTACTTCCTTGGAAAGCAAGGATAAAGGGTCGTTGTAATTCACCTTTAGATGTGTCAGCACCTTCATCTCTTTGGGTGGAACTACCAATATTCATCAGGCGACTCAGAATATGGACAGGTCTTTGGGACTAAGCTTGGAATCAGCCAAACCGAAACCGTCTGTAGCTTCATATTTGCACACCAAGTCGACCATGATTCAGTTGACCCAATTATGAAAAACTCTCGGTGTCGGTGGGAGTCGAACCCACGCAACAGAGAAGGCTTTTGCACTGATAGAACTTTTTGAGCGGTATCGAACTGTTACTCTGTGGCAGTGTCAATAACCTTCCTATCGGAAAAAACAGCTATTTTATCTACAAGTTTTTTTCATTAAGTCGAATCTGACTCAAGGCAAACCCGTTCGAAGCCTGTCTAGCCGACCGATAATTTCTACATGCGTGTTCAACCTGAAAAGTTTATTAATCAATTTCATGGCACAAAACTTGGCAGATTTGCAAAATATAATTCTCTAAACTAACTTAGCTCTTCTTTTTCCAAAAATAATGCGCTATCTCATAATTACACTAACCTCAATTTCATGGACGCAAGACAAAATTTTCCGTTTTGTGAACAGATATAATTAAATGGTTCATGCTCTTAGTGTATTTTCTTTTATAGTGCAACATGCACACACGAAGTTCTTTTCCGCAGCGTTTAATAGCGTAAGAAATTCCTCGGATATCAACAAACGCTGGATTTCGCCCATTTCCGTCTCTACTTTCTCCCACTTTACTGATCTGAACGGCATTCAATTCTAGTAAACAGCATTTTGCGCCTCAAGTCAACCCAATGAACTAA